GGGGGGGGGTAAGTAATAAACTACATATACAGTACTTAGGATCAATTTGGAAACCAAAGATCATTGGGGATAGAAGGGAATATTTCCATGTTTTGCCCAAATCCTGCTTAAACTCCTGCTAAAATCTTGCTTAAATTAGTTTAGTGTAACTTGTACAGTATAAATGACCTAAATAGCGGCAATACTATACCAAATTATAACACTGTATAGAGGCATTTAGAATTACAAGAAATAAGTAGGGCGACAAATATTTCCATTCATATTGACAAACAGAAAATTTGTATTTTTTTTAAAGATAAGTAATCATTTAATTTTACCAAATTATTCTTACCTTACAGTAAGTTTATTTTTGTTGTCGTCAAATGAATATTTCGTCAAGTCTTGTTTATCCTTTTGAAAAGGATTAATCACACTTCCCTGTATAAATTAAAAATAATTAAACCTTTTTTTAAACGAGTATTTAAAAAAAAGCTTTAAAAACATTTTCATTATGTTTCTATCAATCAAAAAATAATGTATTTCCAAGCGCGGATTCTGCAAAAAGTTTTGTCTTAATGGTGCTAATTAAAAATTTAAGTCCACGCTTTTTTATCAATTCTTTAGAATAAAAACAATGTCTAAAGATTTAATAAAATGTTCCAAGTGTTCTAAATTATCATTTGCTATAGCCTATGGTAACTAATTATTTTAATAAAAATTTTAAAAGTAAGTGTGTATTAAGTGCATCACATTTTGAATTTAATAACGCTTTTTTTAAATATAAAAAACAAACCGTTATTCTAGTTGGATGGACAGATCCAGGATTGTAATGATCATAAATCAAGCTCTCAATCTCATCAGCTTAAAAGAATTAATAAATGATTTATTTTCTGCTTTACTATTCTAAATGTTCTACCTGGTATTCAAATAGATTCTAGTACAATAGATGGCAACGTAGAATTTTTACACTCTCAGTACAGCTGAATTCTGACGTCACAAGTGTCAATTCAGTTTTTGTGTTCATTTATTTATTTTATTTATTAAAAATAGTGATAATTTTAGAATAAAGTGTTTATCTTACAGCAAAATAAGTGCAATTTTATTTGTTCTTTATTTTCCGTTTTCACACTTTTATATTAAATCTTGGAAAACATGTCAACTAATGTGAGAAAATTACGTTTTCCTTGTGACGTCGTGTATAATTAGTCCATTTCTCTGCATGCCACCTATTGTACTTGATAATCTATTTGCCTTGTATTATGGAAGTTAATAGTTTAGAGGTCTGTTTTTAAACAATTTAAGGTTTGTTTTACATTAAATGTGATTTGAGATGTATGATACAAAACCAAATCCGATTTCTGCAAGTTTTAAGATATAATATAAAAAAGCTCTTCGTATTTAAATTGGTCAGATATAAGATATACACCAAGACGATTTTTCAAAACGATTTGATCGTTTTGAAAAATTGTGTTGATGGATATCTCTGGCCGAGTAGAAAGTTTGCATAAAGTAAAGAAATAAAAGTTTCCAAGCATACTACTTTGAAATAGGTTAGTCGTATCAGATTCCTGTGAAGCCTCTTTAAAAAACCGATCACCTTGATTGATTGAAAGCAGGCCTGAAACAATGCTTATCTGTCAGTACCTGATATCCCTTGTTTCAATACGTTCAGCTCATTAGATGCCTCCGCGATAAATCCAAGTGCAGGAAATTCACTAAAGAATATAGAAATTTTACATCTATCCTGGATATAATCTATTTCAATTTTACATCTATCCTGGATATAATCTATTTCAATTTTACATCTATCCTGGATATAATCTATTTCAATTTTAAATCTATCCTGAATATAATCTATTTCAATGACCACTGACACACATGATTTATGTTATGTCAAATTGCAACACTATGATCATACTATAGGGCTTGCAATGACGAGTTGACTAAAGGATAAGACTTTAGAAACGACAATACGGAATTTATTAGTCTTTAATCTTTGTTCTAGGTTTCCTTCCGCTATGGCTACTTGGTTTTTTCTTTGCAAAATCATTTATTATGCCATGAAAAGTCATTTGTTACAGGCAGAAGCCCCCCCCCCCTAGACCTATTTCTGTATACACCCTTGATAATAACATCGGCTTAAAAGGGACTTATCGAACCCCGCTTGAATTCAGCTTCGATTTCCTGTGTGCGCTACGTACACCACGAACACAACACTGTGCAGTTATAAGGGTTCCGTTGTAAATTGGACATTGCCCTCTTTACATGGAGGATTAGGCTTACAATCCTTTAAGTGAACATTTTCTATTTATAGTTTTCATCTATTCAAATCTTCATACCTTATTTCTAATTTGAGGGCTGACGTCGAATTTTCCGAAATTACAATTCTTTAAAATCAGACTTCAGATAGAATACATTACTTTGCTTACTATTTATATGTATTTTCTTGTTTGAAATTGTATTTACATGGCCAGGGGACGTTTAAACAAAAATCATTAAATGAAGAATTATGAAAAAATATTTCTGAATAGATTCCTAGCAACATTTTCAGCTCCCTGGAATGCCTGGCGAATATCCATAAGAACCTCACGACCTGAAAAAAATCTTGGTTTCAGTTAAACGTTAATCTCAAACGTGTGAGAGTAGGGGGGGGGGGGGTAGGGGTTGTTACCCACAAAGGATGAGACTGTAAAAACGACATGAAGCTCTTTAAATTTAACGTTCCCATAGGGTAAATTAAATATTCTGCCATGAATATATCCTTTTTATGGGCTTTTATAATTATTGCGACTCAATTCCTATAGCAGACAGTGTTAATTCTGTACAGTTGTCTCTGAAGCCTCATACTTTGTGGGTAACCCTGTACTAAAAGGGTAAGCCTGAATCAGCACTGCAGTAAAAGTTTTAAATACCTGCATATGAAGACTCGTCTTCAAAGATGATGAATAATTCCCTGTCTTCAGAAACTTGAGACCAATCAGTTAGCTCGTTATATTCTTAATTGATTTAATATTTTAATATCTTGTTTTCAAATAGGTACTGTTAGTGTAATTTCAAGTGACCAGTGATACAAATGCCCGATTTGGAACGGTATCCTTGAAACCAGTGCTTAGGATCCATTTGATTTTGATGCGGATCCGGATCCAGGCCATTTCTTTTAGATTTACTGAATTTTTTTAACAAAAAATAATTTCCAATTTTTTTGTTTTATTTTTTTCGCTTATTTTTATCCTAAAACTTGATGAACCATTCAGAAATTAGAAAATTTTTATTATCTCACTTTTTTCAAAAGGGGTTTAGGAGTAAAAAAAGTTTTTTTTGCAGTTTTTGGTTGATATTTTACCCCTTGGATCCGGATTCAAGGATCCGCATATTTTTGCGGATCCGGATCCAGGAAGGCAAAATCTTGCGGATCCAACGGATCCGGATCCTAAGTACTGCTTGAAACCTTCATAGAATCAAAAATGTGGAAGATACCGTTGTTTTTCTGACTCGGAAAAGGGTTTATTTCTGTGAGGTTTTCCATTGCAAGGAATGCGCAAGCCACTTTTGCAGTGAACCCGCAAATAAAAATAAAGTAAAAAAACATTGCTATCTAATTCATACTTGATCAGACAAAACTTTCAATGGTATGGTTGTAAACCGGACATTGCCATCTTTGCAAGAATGGTCAATTAAAATTACGCTTACAGTCCCTTTATGAAACAATATTTAATCTAAATTTATGGAAATTAATCTCTGTAGGTTACCTGTGATTGGTTGGAAAACGGGCCACAAAGAATTGTTGAAAGATGGCACAGATTCAATGAAATCGATTGAATCATATTTTAACGAAGCAACACTTTTCTCATAGGACTCTCTGTTGAGGGAATCAAATTTTAAAATATCTTTTAAAACTGAAACAAAAAGAGAAATAGGTCATAAAGAAAGCTAATATTTCCAGCTATATTATTAATTAGATTATTTTTACAAAACTAATTTTTTTAATCTTTATATCTTTTTAACCTGATGGCGTAAACCTTTGATATTTCAAACTTAGATTATTTGATTTGACAGAATTCAGAGTTTGAAATATCTAAGGTCTACGACATTGGGTTAAAAGATATAGGGATTATAAATTAGAGTTTGTGACAAAGAATCATTTTTTTTGCTTAGAAAAGCAAGTAACTTTAAGCCAAATCAGTTGCACAAGGAAAATTTTAAGAAAATGTTTTAAAAAAGAAAAATTTGAATTTTCCTGAGTATTCCAAGATCTTGCTCCGTAGCGTAGGGAGGAAAATATTTAACTGTTGGGTACCCCTTGACTTCATACTTTGAACATGTATCCTGAAAATATATCTTTATAAACTTTGCTTGTCTGGGTGTCTCTCTGTTTGTCCAAAACAGGTGAACCGATCGGGCCCAACTTTTTGGTGGGACCATACGTTACCTAAAGGAACTGAGTTTTTGCCACAAACCCTGATTTTCTAAACCAGATTTATAACCTGATGATGTATCCTTTTGAAATCCACGAAAACAAAATTGTAAATCTGCAAGTTATTTTTTTATTTTTTCATTGTAGAGAAAATTCTGAAAGATTGAGCAACAATTAAAAGTTCAAATAGAAGATAGGTCGCTAAGATGACATTCATTGTAATATAATGTTAATTACCTCATTTGCTGGGTCTGCGCAATCAATGGCTCCAACCCTGAGTATGTCTCCCCAAAAAGCAATATCATTGCTAAACTAGACAACAAATTATTCTACACAAGATTAAATCATTCATTTTTCGGTCTAAAATCTCCATTAATCTTGGCTCTTTTGATCATTATTGTAGACCATCTTTTATGAAACTGATTATTAAAATTAATTCTTTTCCATTTTGTGCTAATTGCGTTGCGCCTCTGAATGGAATTTTGAGTTAAAAACTAAAAAAACCTCGTAATTTTCGCACAAATAATCAAGCAATGGAGAAAAGGTAACAAACAGAAACGTGCACCTATCTTAATCCACATATTCCTTCAGTTGGGTTGTTTTTTTTTGGGTCGTTTTAACCATTTATTTGCTTTTTTCAGGGTCAAAATTTTGCAGAGTGTAAAAAAGAGAAAACGTTTTTAATTTTTTTTTCTGTACATTTGCTTTTCTTACAGTGTCAAATTTCCACCTTAACAGAGGATATAGGCAAAAAAAAACCAAAAACGACCCAAAAAGACCCAAAAATGATCCAAAAACGACCCAAAAAAGACCCAAAACGACCCAAAAACACCCAAAAACGACCAAAAAAAACGATACTTCATTGAATGTGTTGTATCTATAGTTTTTTAAGAAGTTTTTCTAGTTTTTAATATAAATATATTGCAAAGTTTAATAAAAGCTTTAACATAATACATTTTTGAAATCTTGGTATTTTTATTAAATACTTTTTTAAACAATCCATAACGATTTATAACACTATCCCTAGCAAAAGTGTATTATTATGTAAAAAGAGGTTGGATACATTTTTAACAATTGCTATTTACTTGTTTATAAGGTTGAGCGAACTCCTGGCAGTGTCCACACCAGCTAGCATAAAATTCTACTATCCAAGCATGAGGTCGACCTGTAAAATTTTAAATTTTAAAAAATTCTTTGAAATTTATGTGGCCTCAAAGAAGTCCTAAATAATTTCATAAGGTTTTTCACGATAATAGCTTATACATAGATAAATTAACAATAGATGTCGTCTTTTCAAGATTTAGGGGTTTTTCGTTCACAACAACCCTGAAGCCCAAAGGAGTTACGCGCTGGCTGCGTTGAAATACAAGACAAACAGAGAACATGCGCGTAACTCCTTTGGGACTCTGCCTCAGGGTTATTGGGAACGAAAAACTCCTAAATCTTGGAAAGACGACATCTTGTGTTCTATCTGTATTTTTGTTAATCTGTGGCTTTTTAGATAACTTTTTCTATAAATATATTTGCTCTTTACGTCACGTCAAATTGCAGTTAGCTGCACGTAATCTTATATGTTTTCAATTATTACTCTTCTTGTTGAAGAGCTATTGAGAAAAACAAAACAAACATGAATTTCTAATAATAATTGGAACAATTTGCTTTTCTCATAATTGCGCGTAAAATCGAAACCGGAGGAGCTACGAGGACACAAAGTTTTACCAGTAATATTGCATAAATTTGACCTTCTCCATCAGTGTAGGATGAAGTAACGTTGTCGGTATTTCCTTTTTTTTTCATTTGCTATATTTCGTCATTTACTATACATATCATTTCTTGTATTCGTGTTCTATTTTATGACTTAACGTGTTATTTGCTCTGAAAATAATAGCCTTTTTATCTGCAGTGCTTACCCCTCCTTCGCAGTCGAATAGTCTAGCAGGAAAAAACCAAAAATTGTTAATTAGATTGCAATAGATACATATACCCTAGCGCTGTGTGTACATTGTAAAATCTGATGCAAAATTCTACAAAAAGAGACTGTAAGCATAATTTCAAGTGACCCTCCAAGCAAAGATGGCAATGCCCGATGTACAACAATACCCTTAAAACCGTAAGAAATGAAAAAAGTGGAAGATACCGTCGTTTTCCTAGCTCGACAAGAGTTAAATTCTGATGACTTCTCAATTGCTTCTTATAAGCAAGAAATGCGCATGTAACTTCACAGACAACCGCAATTAAAAATAAACTGCAGTTTAAAGAAACAGAAACATAAGTATCTAATTCATACTTAATTAGACAAAACTTTTAAAGGTGCCGTTTTACATCAGGCATTGCCAATTTTGCATGGAGAGTCCCTTGAAATTACGCTAACAGTCCCTTTATAAAAAAGACTGCATTATTAAAAATCATTTTAATTACGTTGTTAGAAAACTTTCTTTTTGCTTGGTTCTTAATCCTTACTTGTAATTGCATCTGTAAATGTTGTAGCATTTAGAGAGATAACTTCAGAATCAGATTCATATAATCCACACTCTACCTTCCACTAGACAAATAAAGCCTCTATAATGATTGTAACGCTAGCTATGCTTAATGTTTTTTCACGACTATATTTACAAATAAACATACAGAGCGTCCCATATCATATCTCCATGCTTTAACGCCAAAATACGCACACAAAAACTCGAAAAAATTTGTATTTTCTGCAAGCAAATTTTTCTAATGGCCTTATACAATTTTTCCCAATAATTCATTCTTCTTAAATTTTTAATCCCAAAAATCGTGATTTAGAGCTGGCCATTAACGATCCAATATGATGTGGGACACCCTGTAGATGTATTGTACAGGGTGTCCCACCAAACATGACAGTTGGTGAATAGTCTTCCATAATTTGTTAAGTTGTTTGATACCAAAGAGAATAATAAAAATTACATATATGGTAGTCATATCTATCTATCTATTTATATATATAAATAATTGTCAAAACGGCTGAACCGATCGGGCCCTCACTTGACCCCAAGGAAAGTTTATAGATGATAAAATTTTCAAAAATTTGCGAACAAAAAATTCGACTTTTATGAAATTTGCAAATCCACGAACCTTTTTTTGGTTTGGTTTTACACTGTTTACAAAGAGAAAATGTTCACAATTGAAATATAAGATGGGCGCGAAGCACCCTAAAAGCCTAGTTATAGTAAAAATTGATTTCAAACTATACTATATATATTTGAGTAAAAGATTGTTTTACCGAAATAAACTTTAAAAAGTCTTCAATATCTAATCTATATAATAATATAAAGTAGTAATCTATGTTTGTTAGTATGTATGTCTGATCATAACTCATGAACCCCTTGACCAATTTGTCTCAAATTTTGATTGGGGAGTTCGGTAGAACCACGGGAATATTCTTAGCTGGTTTGAAAGTTTCAAGTTCAACAGCTGTCGACCTTTATACTTAAAATTTAGTTTCTAGGCAAAGCTGGGTTCCTGCGCTACTACTATATACTAGTACTAGTCCTGCGCTAGTACTATATATGGAAGAAGTAATATTTACCCACTGTAATGTTTGGTGGGACGTAAATCCACATATTCATATAAATAATAGATTTTTAACATTTACAATCAGGAGGTTCAGGAGGATCAGGAGGGGCTATGATATTTCCAAGCCGGGAGGGGGGGGGGATAAGTGAATTATTGCGCGCAAAAATTTGTTTTTATCCCATTCTTGAAAATCAAAATTATAGGCTAGAAGGAGCCTGCTATCTCTTCTTGCGGCTCAAATCCCGCGGAGGGGGGAGTGAATGTCCCCTCAATTTTCCAAGGAGGGGGATGTCCCCTACCCCAATATTCCTGGATGGGGATTTCCCCTCTTAAGTCGCCGCTGATTGCAATCATTTTCATTGATTTCATCAAAAAATGTCCTTTTTAGGACTTAGTCACAAGTATTTCAATTTTCAATTTGAAAGAAGGCGAAACAATTTTTAGGGGGACGTGTCCCCAAATTGATTTGGGGGTAAAAAAATCGTTCTCTAGGACCGACCCAATATATGTTTAAGAGTTAAGGGTTTGTCAACCATTATACTAGCTAGTATTTTACCTCAAAACTCCAAAAAATGATGGTGAAAGTTAAAATTTTCATATTCTGGCATTCATACAAAAACTTCTATATCATTATTTAACTATACCGGACCAAGAGAACGTTAACGTTTCACAGAATTCAACAGTTAATGTGTAGAGAGAAACTACGGCTTTCAATTTAACATTTTCCTTGTCATCATTTATATAACTGTTTAACTGATGCAGTAAGGTTGTGTAGTATGAATGATGCAAGTATACTAGTCACTGGAGTTGCCGGACTAGAGTGAGTGAACACACCAGGAACAGCTGATTTCACCGTAATCTGGACTAGGACCATATACCTCACTCACTCCCCAGACTCTCTACTCCCCTTGAACCTTGCTATCCACGTATCCATTATATCATTATATCCCATGGAACCTCTCATATACATCCTATCCACAACTCTGATACCAGTCTATCCATATCTCTAATATACATTCTATGGAACCTACCTCTCATATCCATTCTATGGAACCTCTCATAACATCCTATCAATATATCTCTCATATACATCCTATGGAACCTCTCATACCATCCTATCCATATATCTTATATACATCCTATGGAACCTCTCATACCATCCTATTCTTAGCTCTCATATACATCCTATTGAACCTCTCATGCGCGAGATTAAATTCAGAAAATCCGCAATCAACTTATTTTAATGCTTATTTTTTGTGTATTTTCCTATTGTTTTGATTTAGACATTTTTACCTTTCTCAAAAATGAATATTAAAAAAAATTTAGAAAGAACAAAAAAACATCAAAATGATTTAAAAAAAAATAAAATTGCGGATTTCCTGAATTCAAAAAATGATTTATTGTGTGCAAGATCTCGCTATTCATACATTTTTTTGACTCACACTCTGTTTAAAGATTGATTTCGATGAAAATTTGACTGAATGAACGTTAGATTTGTGAACAAAAAGATTAAATCTGATTTCGTAAAGCATCTTCATGTAAATCTAAAACATATTTGAAAAAGAGATTTTCTTTCAAGTTTCAAGTTTCTTTTTAGTTAGGTAAGATACTTGAATAACTCTACAATGTTAAAAATATGATATATTGTATATTTAACGACAAAATGCCCAAAAACGAATGATACAATTTTTACATAAAAAAAAATCTTTTGGTTTTGCTCGTAAAGGAAAATTAACTTCTAGACAAAACAAAGTTTGTTAAACTACATTGAATATATACATAATACTTAAACTTTATACAGGGATAACCAGCAAAATCTGAGATAGGAAGACGACGTTTATGCTCAAGTTATGAATTTAAGTAGTCTAATAAACATGAGGCCCATCACTTGTGCAGTGTAAACAGGTTCATTTCATTTGAGAAGTGATTAAATAACTTACTAGTAAAGCTATCTGCTTTGTAACAACATCAAATAATGTTCAGTTTTGCTTTAATGTCGTCTTCCTATTCTACAGTTTTCTGGTTATCATTGCAATACATAATAGATTTTAAAAAAGAACAGAACTTAGCGATCAATTAGTATTTGTCATAAATCAAAATATTTATAAAATGTATATATTTATATAGTATTATATGCATATATAATTATAATACATATTTACTTGAATGATTGACAGCAACAACTCACAAGAAAAGACAAAAAGGTTTAAAGTTATCAACACGAAAAAGATACATAACATATTAATTATACAATGCAATAGGACTAACTCGTGTAGATTCAATCGGTGAAATCAATCAAAAATAATATAAATATGTAATATAGCTGTATTATATTAATATTGCTTTGCTCATAATTGAGCGTAAAATGAAAATAGAGGAGCAACGAGGTTCCAAAGTTGTACCAGTAATGTCGCAAAAATTTAATCTTCTTCTGTCTAGTATGCAGTGGATGTATGCTGTGTTGGCATGTAGTTATCGCTCCCTGCAGTACATTGTAATAATATCAGATTTGGTGAGTACACCACTCTTAGTAAAGGTTGGATATACAGGGTTGGGTACATTGTACTCATCATCACCACTCTTCCCAACCTTATCAGTGTGAACTCGAACTTCTCCAAGGAAATTATCAGGCTGAATTAAACTCTCTTTTCTTATAACTTCATCCAACTGATTCTTATTGAATCCATCAATATTGCCCTCTCTTCTTCTAACATTGAGTCCCATATCCATATATTGTTCATTCGACGCCATTTTATCCTTGAAACCTAGTACCGGCTCCAAGATATCAATATATTTGTTACTGGTCTCCATAAAATCCTTGTAACTAACTATTTTTTCCATCTTTGTCCCAGGACCTAGTGATTTAGAATTAAAATGTTCAAGTGCGCTAGTATCTATATGTTTTTCAATGTAATCCCCCTCATCCATTGTTTTATTTCTCTTTATCAACCGATCTCGGTAGTATGTATCTTCAGCGACTAGTTCACGTACATCAGTTTCATCTTCTACTGCAATATAATTATATTTAATACGTTGTATCGGGCCAGAGGGAAAAATGGATCAATTCTTAACATTTATAGTAAATTATTGTAAACAATTATAGAACAGAAATTGTGCTCTATGTGCATGTGCAAAATAAAAAAATGAATATTTCTTGTAATCGACTTAAAGGAACTGTTAACGTAATTTCACTTCATCCTTAATGCAAAACAAGGCCCGATTTACAACCGTACCATTAAAACCTTAATCTAATCAAAAATGTGAACGATATCGTCGTTTTTCTAACTCAAAAGGTGCTTATTTCTGTGAATTTCTCTAAATTGCTTATTATAAGCAAGAAATGCGCATGTCACTTTCGTAAAGAAACCGAAAATAAAATAGACATAAAGTTTTCAGCTCTGTTTACATAAACAAAAATGTTAATACTTTATCAGAAAAAGCTTATAAGGGTCCGTTGCTAATAGAAATTTGCTATCTTTGCATGGAAAGTTTTTTTGAATTACGCATGCAGTCCATTTAATTTGTTCAATATCTTTTTACCTTTAAGTTTAGGCCTGGGAATGAGATCTTGAAAGTTAACTACTAAATTTTTTCTACTTAGGGATTCACTCCTTGATTCGGACTGTTTTCTAAACTCTGCGGTTCCAAATATATCAAGATTTGGATGTTTTCTTCTTTTAATCGTCTCCGTTCTTGTCTCCTGGCTCTGATTAGGGTTGGAGGCTCGTCTCCGGAGACTTGGAGAAATTCGTCTTCCTCCAGTAAAAGAATCTGAAGGTTTGTTTCCCCGTATATCGGAGGCTTCTTCCTTCGTCAGATGAAAAGATTCAAACTCGTAGGACGAAGTGATGCCATGTCTGGACAACCCTCTTCTAAAACAGTATTTTTTATTGTTGCATAAAAGGGAGTGACTGGCAAAGTATGGCAGTTAAACTGAGATTGCAGTATTGTTGATAATTTTTTTCGGGTTCGGAGGGCAAATTCAATATTCAAAATCCTCATTGATTGTCCATTTTGGAGGGATGATTTTGAGAATCGGTTTATATAAATTATTTAAAAACAAAGAAGAAAAATTTAACAAAATTTCTACAGTAAACTTATTATATGTTTAAGATATTTCTCATTAGACATTTGTCAATAAATCAATGTTAGAATAAATTGTTTCTTTTTATCGTTATATCGATTTTCTTATTATTTATGAATTTGTTCGAAGATTTCTTCAAATTCTTCAAATGTCGTCTTTCATTCAAAATTCCCCATAAACTACAGAAAATGGTTTTGAACATTGAAACATTACAGAAGCCAATAACTGACTAAGATTACTTATTTTCGATGATAAGAGTTAAGTTTTTTTTCTCATCCTGTTTCTAAACAACAAATCAGTATACTGCAGATTTTTACTTACATTTTTCGTGGTCGTCATTGAATAATTTAAATGAAACCAATTCTCAAAATCATCCCTTCAAAGAGGACAATCTATGAGGATATTTTAAAGACTGCATTTGCAGTCTTGCTGTCTGCTGAACAACTATGCACCGTAAAAACATCTGATAGGTTTAACATTAATCCTAGAAAAATTCTCAATAATACTGCAATCTCAGTTCAACTCCATGCATTGTCGGTCACTCCCTTTAAATGTGACGATTCCAAGATCGAATTAAGTCCTTTGCCTTGAATACAGTCTTTTCATGACCTTTTTATTGGATGAGAAAATAAAGTTTACAGTTGAGGGAATCATGAATATAAGGAAACAGACTAAATTTGGTACAGTCGTCGATAAAATCTCATCCTTTTTGGGTAACCCTGTGTATTGTTTAATTCAATATTTAAAATATGTTCATTTTAATACTTTTAAATGTTTGAAACAATATTTTGAACATTGTAATTGTAAATTAAGGGGATTCTATAAGGTAAGAGCAAGAAATAAATGATAGATAGATAGATCTAGGATTGTAAAGGTAGGTGGAGAAATTGATGCAAGCCTTGACTGATATTGTATGGTGGTAGACGAATATATCAAAATAATGGAGACGACTTTTGATTTTAATTTTGATTCATATCAAGCTTTTAAACAGCATGGAAACCAAGAGAAGCTGTCAACTAAAAAGGTTCTTTTTACCTACTTGTAAACTTGTGATTAAAAAAAGCTTGTTAACAATAAAAACTTAAATTAAAAAGTCGTCCTCAATTTATTGATATAATCGCCTACTTGCAAAAAACGGGTCCTAAAATAAATGAGTCTTTGCCGCAAACTCAAATTTTCCAATTTATTTATTTTTGCAACCTGTTGGTGTAAAAATTTCATATTTCAAACTTAAATTATTTGATCTAACAGAATTCATAGTTTGAAATATCTAAGATATTCGAAATTGGGTTTCAAGGAAATTTAAAATCAGAGTTTGTGGCAAAGACTCAATTCCTCTTCTAATCCTAATATAGAAATAAAATTTAAACGGTTTAAAAATGTCAAAGTTTTAAATCTAAAGGGAAACGTGTCATGGTAGAAACACGCAAAACTTATATTACCCGTCTCTAACATTACAAAAAAGGGCACAAGAAATATCCGGATATGACACCGTTTCTTACACAGTAAAACATATGCATTATATGCTACTATACAGTGTATAACTGCAGAAAAATCTGGAATAGGAATTCGACTTTAAGACTCAAGTTTTGACTTTAGAAAGTCAAATGAGTATGAGACACAGCTATTGTGCAGTGTAAACAGACCCATATCACTAAATAATTGATTTGATAAGTATCTAGAAAAATATTTGTTTTGTCACAACATTAAATACACTTGAATATTGCTATAATGTCGTTGTCTTCATATTCAGCAGCTTCCTGTTTATTACTACTGAGCTAAGCCCCCCCCCCCTGGACCAGAGAAATCTATGAATTTCATGGGCTTTTAGGCCCCAGTGAGCGCTAAGCACCCTCCGGAAAGAAAACAAAATATGCCCTCGTGGAAAAATTCCTTAATACACGATACACCCCTGAATGGTCCTCTTCTTACCTTTTGGTAGTATCCGAGTATGCCCCCTGCCAATATCCTTCTCTTTTTGATCCTTCACGCCTTCTCCCATCAGTATTCATTTCATCCCTACCCCTCCCATCTATATCAAGTCCATCCCTCCCTCTCCCATCTATATCAAGTCCATCCCTCCCTCTCCCATCCATATCAAGTCCATCCCTCTCTAATTCCATGAGCTCCCAGTCCAGTTTTCTTGGCAGACTTCTAGACCTGCCTGTAGTGTATACTGGTGTACCTGGTGTACCCATGTACCGAGTATCTAAATATGTTTTATTTACGGTCGTCGTCGTATATATCAATACAATGAAGACTACTTTTGATTTGAACTATAGTAAACAGCATCGATACACTTAAACATGGAAACAGTTTCTCTTTGTTTATATAGAAACTTGAAATTTAAGAAAAACTTTTAAGAAATCAAAACTTAGATAAAAATTCGTTTTCATTGTATTGATATAAACGCCGAACAATGCATCAAAAGTTAGATAACTATCATCGTTAATTACATATATTTTTCCAATTAATTTACACTCGATGCAATGTATTAAAAGCCTTAGAATTTGATATAGGAAAGGATCTGAACACAAAGTTTGAAAAATCAAAGTCTTAAGACATCAGGGTTGCAAAGATAAATTTTTAGAAAATTTGAGTTTTTAATGAGTATTCAGATTCTTTCTATTTCACAAAATAATATAAACAGATCGCTATATCCTTGCAAGCCAATGTTGTAGGCCATCGATATTTTAAACTATGCTGATCAAATCGTGTAGAATTAAATATCAAAGGTTTACATTCCCAAGTTGCAAAGATATAGTATTTACAACATTTGAATTTGCGGCAAAAACTCAATTCCTTTATGAAATTGTAAAATTTGAGACAGTTGTTCTTGAACTAGTTGAATTCCTTTACCTAGAACGTCCATACTTCTAGATCTCGGAGTTGAATAATATCCATAAACATCTCTTTTCCCTCTTTTTAATGTTCTAATACTGCGCACACTCCTGGTTCAGAAGTAAGAATCAGAATCAGTTAGTGCTTGACTCCAGAAATGGATCAAAAATCAATAAATACATGAACTTTTTACATTTTTATTCAGTGTAGAACATTTACAAAAAAAGCTAAGCATTAATTTTAGTACCCAATGTTCAAAGTGGCACCATCAACGTCCAGCTTGCTATATTGAAAGATGATGAATGTGCATTGATCTTGGGAAAAATGAGAATTTGAGACTCGAAGGAGCTCTTGGTTTCAGATGGAGTTGGCATTGTTAAATCCTGACTTTTTTAAAATAAATCAAAACTTTCTATAGTAAAAAAAATTCACGAGAAATAACACGCAAATTAAGTACGATCTGAATACCCCTTGTATATTTGGATCACGCACCTCTGCCCCTTTAGTAAAAGAAAATTCAACCTTCATGAAGCATGAAGTCTGACCGCGTCAACCTTGTTGCACCGGCTAGTCTGTCCATAGAGCTAGGTACAGTACAAACTGGGACTGGAAAGGTTGACCCGGCTCGGGAATCCAAATATACTACGGCTGCCCGTGGGATGCCCTTTTATATCACTATTTAAAATGGGGCGCTACGACATCTGACGTTAATTGTTTTCTCCAATGAGAATATTTCTGTTCTCTCATTGGTTGCCCGCTTTTCTCTGATTGGCTGCTACAGTTTCTCAGATGATTAAATAATAATATGAATTTTATCGTTTTTCATACACTTTTAAGATAATCTTGCAAGATCATGTTAATCTGGAGATTAAGAAAAAGAGTGGATTAAGCCTTAATCCCGATATCCACCATTCAAAAGTTCCCTGCTCAGTTTTCTCATTGATTGCGCGCCAAAATTTCTCGGCTTCTGATTGGCTGTTTGGTTTCTACAATCGGCACTCTGATTGGGTGCAGTTTAGACACATTCCTGGATTTTAATGTAAGATAAATTAATCTGCAGAATAATAAAAATAGAAGATCAAGTATTTATCTCGTTATTAATTAAAAAAGCTGTTCTTTGATTACATGTGAACTTGTAATTTGGAAAAAGCTTGTTTTAGCAATTAAGATCAATAAAAAAAAATCGTCTTTATGCATTGATATAATCGCCTACCACTGTACCTGATACTTAATTGATGAACAAGTACCCAAAGAAAGATTAGGATAACTCCAACAAGAATTGGAAACACGGAGATACTAGCCAGCAAGTACAGAGTTTCACTAAAATAGAATTTAAATAACAAAACTAACATTTTAATTTCCCATTACAGAGAGTGTTTGCAAAAATGAAAGGGGGTTGAGGCTGCTAAATTTCATTTTCCGCTAAAACTCCCTTTAAGATTCCTACAAGAGGTTGATTCATTTGGGAGGAGAAAAAAACTATACCAATAGAGAAAATGAATAATCAGTAAGGAAAAAACTAAACCAATAGAGAAAATGAATAATCAGTATAAGGAAAAACTATACCAATAGAGAAAATGAATAATCAGTAAGGAAAAAACTAAACCAATAGAGAAAATGAATAATCAGTATAAGGAAAAACTATACCAATAGAGAAAATGAATAATCAGTAAGGAAAAACTGAAAATGAATAATCAGTAAGGAAAAAACTAAACCAATAGAGAAAATGAATAATCAGTATAAGGAAAAACT